GTCCCCTGAGGAACTGGTTATCAGGTGACTTGGCCGAGTTTTAGGTATCAAGGTCCCGCCCTTTCAAAGACGTTTCATTTGATATGCGTGACGGAAGGTTAAGACAGTGCGTGCGTGGGTGATATGCGTGAGGACGTCACCTAAGTCACTCGTGATGAGATCATTGGCCTGGTTAATAATTATCAAGTTATTACTGTGTGGACGGCGTGGCCTTTGATATGCATGTCGAAGGTGTGAATAGTGCTTACGCGGGTGATAGGCGTGATAAAGCCGCGCGAGTCGCATTGTGTCACTATGCAGTGACTCATTCATGGCTTTTCCCTGTTAAATTCACTCCAAAGCTATTCACTCCACGCATTCCCGAAAATTCTGGGTCGTTTTGAAGTCACAATGTCATCAGGATTAAATTCACTGGCGTCCGGATTAAATCGGCTGGCGGTTGGATTAATTTCAGTGGCACTTGGATTAAAATGAATGGCACCTGGATTAATTTCAGTGGCGGCTGGATTAAATTGACTGGCGCCTAGATTAATTTGGCTGGCGCTTGGATTAAATTGAGCGGGAAAACCTGTAGAGTTGTCTGTCTTCAAGACGGGCCTTCATGGCCCATCTTCTTCATGGCTGCAGCCTGTGTGCGCTGTGCCAAGGACAGTGGCAGAGAATATGTTCGTTTTTATTCTGGCTGCAACAGTGAATGCAAACGACATTATCCTCCATACCTATAGATAAGGCAAATGATATCATAAGAGCAACACGAGGCCAAAGTTGATAAAGTGGCAGTCCCTCGACTCGAGAAGTCCACATGGCGATCGAAGTGAAAGAGTGTGGGCCTATTGGTGCTGACGTGTGCACTTGAAGCTTGGCGTTTTTCTCAATAATATCTTCAATAAGGCTCGCAGGATAACGAATTCCCAATCCTGCCTCTATTCTTAAAAGAGGGATACATTTTTGCACAATCTGTGTGTTTGCAGATCGAGTTGCTGGATTGACATGTTCATTTTTCATTATAACGCACTGGCTTGAGAGCCATTGCGCTATGGGCCTCGGTACAAGATCAATCCATCGTGTCACTACGGTATGCCGCGAGACCTCAACAGGCAAGAGGATGCTTCCACCGCATCTGAATAAATGTCTAATACAACAATTACTTTAGGAACAAGATTAGACTGAAGGAATCCGCAATTTGGGTCCGATGTGACGTCCCAGAAAATCTGAATCATGGCCTCTGCGAATGTACGCTACATACACCAGAGAGACAGTTTATGAAGGTGGCCTTGAATCTACAACGGGACACGGTCTTGGTCCATATTTTCAGCCCATGGCAAAGCAGCTCCAGTGAGCCACACGCCACAAAGGTGCTGCTAACTTTCTTGCGGGCCACAAGCCTGAATGAAACCTTGTATATAGTGTTGCATGCGTGTGTGTGGCTGTATTTGTTACGCGTTTATTGGTGTAGATATCATAATCGTCACCCAGCTCCTGGAGCAGCATGTCAGGCGAAAAGCCAGGCGAATATCTCCAGCTCTTCTTTAAAATATTTATCGGTCTCTTTCTCATGCCAAAACGTTGCTAAATGATAAAATAGAGCAGATCTATACCATAAAATATTATACGCATATCAAGCCATGAAGAGCTGCCTTACAGTCACCAAACAGGCGCTCCAGTTCTTCAGCCGTTCACCAGAAATTCAGCAAACTGTGCTATGAAGAGTGGAATGTACCGTGGCTGTTGATGCCATCACGGGGTATAGGCTAAAGATACGGTAAACATGAACATATAGCGATCCTAGCGATCCGTAGCTCCATTACACCTAACTGTATATCTTGCGCTTATTTTACCTTCTACGCGTGGAGAACACGTTCTAAGCTCCCGACGCCAACCACCAACTTCTTGGTGCTGAAGTGTACAAAAGAAGAAAAAGAGAACATATCGCTAAAGATGTCTCGCTCCACTCAGTAGTCAAAGCGCCTTGCATGTTTTTTTCCCGTGTTCCTTTCCCGATCAATATACCTTCTCATGAGGGTGGGCACAGCTGTTATTGGCGTTTTGTGTTGCAAATGGGTTTTCATGGTCGTCCAATTTGGCCATCATAATCTTGCTGCATTCGTTTTTGTGGGTTTGTGGTAAGTATAATCATTCTTTCTGACATACTTAGCCTGCACACTTCCGGAATCGCATGTCCAGCGTTACCACGTGGAAACACTTCATACATACAAATTGCGAATCGTCTGGAACACGGGAAGACTATCCCCGATGGTTCCTCAGGAGGCTTTTTCATAAATTGCTCTCTGCTGTAAATCACTATTCAATGGAGAGGAAGAACTATCTCTTCTGCGAGACTTGCGAAGACGCATGGGGCTTTTTGCCACGTGCGAGCTATGCTTTCCTGATGACGTGCGTAAAGTTACTTGAACAATGAACTATAAGCACGTGCCAGAAACGTTTTCAGGGGCAACAAGCTGGTCATTTTTGAAAGCGATATGGTATTAGCATGTGTCAACACCTTCTAGGATATAAGTTGTCTATCCAATTGATCTCCTATAAAAACTATATCAACAAGACTTCTTGCGAACAATTGCCCTTTGTTTGTATTGCACGTACCGTTTCAAGTAAGTACAACTAACGTCTCCAACAGAAAAACATACGAGCACAGTGGCTCCTGCTGAGCGTGCAGGTTTCTGTTTCTAGGTGGCAGTTTCCCCTACGTGGACCCATGTCTTTCGTCTTTCTGACTTTCGCACGGATGCTAACATGGAAGGTGCCACTCGCGTGGAAGTGGTTTCTTTTGTCTCTTCATTATTCGTCTCTATATTTCTGGCACTCTGTAAAAACTGGCTTGTTTGTATTTCTGATTGGTGAGTTGTCGCACGCTAAACATTTCCCTTCCGCGGGAAGAACTCCCTGCTTGTCCACCTGTTGTTTGAAAAGTAGCGTGCAGAATGATGACGTACGTCATCGACCATCCACTAAGTAAGTAGGACGCTTTCCTTACGTCGTGCTTCTTCTTTTATTAGGAAAACATCAATCTGCTGCCGGGGATGTGACTTTAAAAATATTGTGCTTGACAGATTTAGTTATTCCTGCGTTCCATACGTTACAGTCACTGAAGAAATTTGGACGTCTCCATGAGAATAACGATGCCCCAAATAAAAAAAAAAAACTTCCGACAGCGCACTAGGAGACGTCTCTTAGAGTCGAATCTTTGTTAAACCAGTTCGAAAGCAGTGACGAATGCGGAAATGACATTAGCGAAAGCCGCTAGCCAGTGTTCACGCAAGTCTGAGAAATACGTGGAACCGCCAGGCTCTCAATTTTACCTCGAGAATGTTTTTTTTTTGTTGACAGCATGAAAAAAATCGTCTTTCACAAGATAAAAAAAATTGTGGGAGCTTGGCGTCGCAGCTCGTCGGCTCAGAAGGCTACATGAACCCTGCTGGTGTTCTTAAGGGCAACGGAATTACGCGATCGCCTGTATATTTGCTGTACTGTACATGCGTGCAGTGGTGCGAGTGCATTGCGCCTTTCTCTCTGTTTTACCCTGTCATACCTCTGTCCACGTGCAGGGCAGCGAAATGCACATAGTCTAGTTAACACCTCAACCTTTCCTGTATTCTCTCTTTCTGGAATACGGGAATTTTTACGGCCATTCAGAATTGCCAGCCTCTGTAGTTATTGTACGTATGCGGTAAAAATGCCAACTGACAGGCCATGGGGCGGTCGAAAAAAGTTGCTTTCGGGAGAAGAAAAGAAAATAATGCACCAATAGAATGTATCTGCGATGCATTTATAACGCCGAAATTCGAAGGAAAAAACGGTATGCTTTTGTAGAGTTTGGGCTTTTTGCGCTGGTGGAGGTAGAAACAAGCAAAAAATTGAGAAAATGGATGCCAAAACCAAGATTTTGATACGTCTAAGCGCTGTTGGCCATTAGCTGCCAATTATTGCTAATAATGTACATGCTGACATGACACTACTAGGACATATGAAAAGTTATGCGCAAGGACTTTTTTTTAAAAAAGTATGTGATTTTGTGCTCGCATCAACAATGACCGTTAACACACAGTTTCTCCTAACAGAAGAAACCAGCATGTTGTAAAGGCAGATAAATAATTAACTGACGCTGGCAGCCGAATATTAACTCTTACAAGCACAAATATTTCTGATACTTTTGCTTAGCAAGTGCACTTTACTTACCACTGCTAATAATGTGTGCTCTTTATATATATTATAAAGGTTGCCTAAGAGCATTGAGCCTTGAAAATCTGTTAGCCTTGAAAAATCTGTTTTCACTTATAGCAAGCTGTTAATAGTATTTGTGGGATCTCTTCTTGGAGCGTTTCCCTCTTACCAAATTTTTGGATCTCCAAGTAAACATTGCTTTTAAATTTTACAGGCACGAAGAATTAGGAAATGCTTCTAAATGCGTCCAATTCGCGCAATGTGATTTCACGGCACTCGATATTCTATATAACTGGAAGTAATATCAGAACAACTTCACTTATGTGATTCATATATATTATATTAATTTAATTCTTATTGATTATTCGTGCATGGTTAAGTCATTCGTGTTCGAACTTCGCGCAAATAAAATCAAATCGCTGGCTAGATAAATTAAAGCTTTTGTTTTCGGCTATATTCAATCCATGGAAAGAAAGTTTACTTTTGACAAGGTTCGCTGAAAACACACGTGCAATGACTTAAGCAAAGAGATCTAATGCAACAGCACGTTGCAAAATGACGCTAAATGCAGACAAATTTGTCACGCGAAATGTTCGACTTTTCTGTGCCACTATGTATGTTTCTTTTTTTTAGCTTCTAGTTGACACAAACAGCAAAAAAAATGTTTTGCACACAATTGTGCACAATAAAGCGCCTCAATTTGCAAGCTGCATGATTGTCTGATGTGCGTAGTTCCTCAATATTCTAGCGTAAGAACTCTTTTGTGACGATTGGTCCACTTTGTGAGATTTCATATTCCTAGCCACTGTTCTTTTTCGCAGGATGCCCGGTGCGACGAATCGGGCGGTGGTCTTGGCCCTTCCGCGGCATCAAAGGCGCCGGCCGACTCGACAAGTTGAGCGGCCGCCACCAATTGGACAGGCTTAGTGGCGGAGAACTGTTGCGATCGCTGGTGCTTCCGTACGTGCTGCGCGGACTGCAGTATTCACCCGACTACGTGTCCCGCCGAAGCTCAGCTAAGCCAGGAAGCGGCGAGCATATGCGCACGGCGGGAGCTTTTCTGCCCGGCTCTTTGCCGGTCAAAAGGCAAGCACCGTGGGTACACAATGTGTCTTCGCTCTTTTCATTCCCTGCTTTCGCTTTTTGGGGGTTGGTGCATCGATTCAGAAAGAAATGTGCAATATACACAGCACAGGAAACTGGTGCTGTCTTTTGATTCTTGGTGTGCTGTGTTTATTATGCGATCCTTCTTTTTGCTTTGTAGTTGCTTCAGGAAGCGTCATTGTAGCAAAACAAATTACAGCTACACGTATTGCACACAGCTACACGTATTGCGTGTAGCTGTGTTTTTTGTTTGTTTTTATTTTGTTCTGTTCTAACTGTTTTGCTGTGGAAAGGTTGAGATGCACATTGCCTGGGCTACTCCATATCATGAAGTTCTGCAGCGAAAAAAAAGAATAATACGAAACAGTACCCAAAATTGAACAATACAAAAAGAAACATGATAGCACACTGAAACCAGTTTAAATATTGTGCCAATATACAGTTTGCTTACAGCATTTCCCACTGTCATAAACTGTTTACACCTTCCTTTTCTACGGTCAGTACATGCACTAACACATTTCATATATATCCATCCCTGGCTGTCTATCACAGGCGCTTATCCAGTACGGTCTTGATTATACAAAGTGTGACATTGATACAGATACATTGAACATCAAATGCCAAACATTTCTGCAGGGGCAGAATCACTTCTGGCCCTTTGAAATCGAAACTGAATTGGTTTGAGAATTCTACAAAACTTCGTAGACATTATTGTGGATGATGCCGTGATTTTTTTAGGCAGTTGTTCCAGCAGGAGCTTTAGAACACTGGAAAGGAGGACTTGTATTGCTCAGCCTATGCGAGCGCACTAAAGATGTTGGCTTAGAAACCTATGCAACTCTTTAATTCCTTTGGCTTAGCCCCACTGCACTCCGACTAAGCTTCCGTAGCTTACTGATAGTAACTGTGAGAGGGCTCTCTATTTATAGCCTAAGGCTGAAATATAACGAGGATAAATGTTATACAGCTAGGTGGATTATGATATCTGAAATAACGACAAATCGTCGAGTGCAACGGGAGCAGAATGTTTCGTACTAAACTGTGGGCTCCGTGACAAACTCGTGATGCGCCATTGTTACACGTAATCGAGAAGGCCACGCTTCAGCGGTGTTGGTATTGTACATAACGCGGCAGACCGAGGATAATGTTACGACGTTCGCTAAGAATTTCATGAATCTCTGCGGCCATACCTTCTGTTTTGGCCCCCTCCAAAAAAACACGATTTTGCGTTCACTTTTGAGGAGTTTCAGAATGCTTTCAGAGTTCAGGTGCGACCAAACTGTCCTTGAACGCACCAAAGCAGTTTTTTTTATAAATTACTTCAGCGTCTCTTCAAGAAAGTGCAGGATCAGCCATTGCTGTAGTTTCAAAGCAATGCATAAGCAACCTTCTTTTGTACAAAAAACATTGTTTTCACGTTACTTCAAATTTTCATAAAATATTTTTGAGGATCCACCAATGTTATTTTATTTTTTTTAAGTTCGAGACTTTGTGTTATCACGGGCACACTATCATTCTGAGGGTGAAGTCCACTGATCAAACTAAAGCAATTTTTCTTGCTCTGCGGCCGAGAATATCTATACATTGGTTGATTCGAAGCAAGTTCGCACTTTCCATTGACAGAATCGGAGCCGATCAATTTGTGGCAGAGCATGCCGCGTTAATCGGTGTCACCAAGGCAGATTTTGCCGGAACTGTACGGCACCATGTTGCTGACATTTGCGATGCAGTAAATCCGTCGTCTCCTTTTTTTTTTTTTTGAGATGATGTCTGTTCAATTTGATCACCCCGTGCACTTGTTTACATTCCTACGATGGCGCTTACGTTTCTAAAAATGGCGCTCTGAACCAATTTTTGTGTCGGTGCACTCATCTTCCGCAGGTTCGACTCGCTAAGCGGACTGACGTTTGGTGGCGACCAGGGCGGCGTGCACAAGCGGGGCTACGGACACGGCGAGTTCGACGAGATTGACAACGCCGGCTGGCCAGGATTTTACAAGCGAAACTTCGACGAAATCGACAGGAGTGACTTCGGGGGCTTTTACAAGCGAAATTTTGACGAAATAGACAGGACCGGTTTCGAAGGCTTCTACAAGCGCTCCACTTCTCGGCAGTAGATTAGAACTTTATAGCATTCCTCTGTGTACCATCAGCCCTGCCTGTCTTTTAATCACCTTTCGCGATTCCCCTTGAGTGGCTACTTTCATAATCCTTTTGATTTCGTGATGTTATTATGACCTCGTTGAGACGACAGCTTCGGTGAATATGTTCTGCACCCCGGGGCATACAATGATTTAGAAGTACTACTTCATAAAATGAGGTCCCGAAGTTACCAGCTGTGTCACGCGTTTCGATGATGTTTCTATAAAGGTATCTTCCCTGCTCATTTACTCCATGTCTATACCCTAACGTTAACGGTATTGTTGTAAGAAGGAATAAGCAGCCTTTCATGTGTATTCTTTTACGTGCCCAATGCTCTTATCCGTGCAAGCGAAGAGCACGATTGAAAGTGCCCAGTTAATGTGTGGGCATCCGTCAAGAGCTCGTCATCGCTCGGATAAGGTGTGTGGGCCAAGCTCCTCTTATGGATGAAAAATACTAGACGTGATTTTGGGTGAAATTATGGCAGCTGCGAAACTAAAAACAGAACGTCACCTATATTTGGCAGGAAGAAGACAGGCGCATTACAGATTGTTTAACAAGTGTGCATCTCTTATAATGACATACACGCATTACCTGTTGTTTAAAGCAAGGCGATCATGTAATAAGTGTGCACATTTACCGTTTTCTTGAAGTTGTTTACGTTGACATTATGTAAATAAACATATGTAGAGATTTACTTCTTCCATGTGTCATCAATATAGTGCCATGCGTTAAAAGGGTTGATAAATACTTTCTCTACCTCATGTATCTTTATTCAGCAGCAGAAGCAGTAATAAAAAAAGAAGTATATGAGAAGGGCATTTCTGCGGCCATTGAGCCACAAGGACGCAACCAACCAATGATCTCAGTTTAAAGAAACCTCGGAATATTTCGCAAAACTAATGTATGATACATTACAGAACTCACAGCGCTAAATCATCACGTGTTGCACATGACCTCCTTTATGTACACTACGAGCGATGTCAAAATGCTTAGCAACCGTCTCGCCCAAGATACGATTATTGCTCTAACAGGATTCAGTGTAGATCAATTTGAATGAAGGCCTCAGTGTAGAAATATATATGGAAAGTTTAACCTCCTATTCCTCAACTCTAATAAAGAGTAACACACCCCAATATAGAGTCTTAATATCGTTGTTATCTTTCTCTGTTCCATTTTCTTTCAATCCCGCACCTTCTCCAATCACTTCAGTTTACGGCTCAGAAAATTAAGTTAAAAGATGCACCTGAATATTCTTTCCGTTTACTGGTGCGATACTTTCAGAAGACCGATGGCACAATGACATGCAGCAAATATTGCCGCGTGCCCACACTTGCGAGAGGAAGTACCAGAACAATTCTTCAGCAGGTGATGAACAATGCTGGTTACCAGTATAATAACCTTAAAATGCTGAAAAATACTGCTGTCGGTATCGGAACCACCTTACGTAGAAGTATACTACCGTTCACATATCGCGGCTCTTATATTGAAATACATAAAAAGTAATTAGAACAGAGATAGTTTTTCTGCATGACTGTCTTGTGAAAAGAAACAGTGAATTCCTAGGCTTCAGTTGCACGAATACAGTAACATACAGGTACATAGCACTCATATAACCCCAAGACGAAGCCACTTTGCTGGCAATTAATACTGTTATTTTCTACTGGTAAAGTTGATTGATGATTGATTTGTGGGGTTTAACGTCCCAAAACCACCATATGATTATGAGAGACGCCGTAGTGGAGGGCTCCGGAAATTTTGACCACCTGGGGTTCTTTAACGTCTACTGGTAAAGTGCCGTAGATAGACAGATAGATAGATAAATAGATTTATAGCTAAATAAATAAACAAATAAATAGATAGATAGATAGATAGATAGATAGATAGATAGATAGATAGATAGATAAAATTGTACGTGCACACAAAAATACACACACACATATATATTTATAGACAAAGATTGTTTAGTGAATGTTAAACAAGGTAAAGTGCCAGTCAATCCCGTCACTAAGCACCAACTATAGGGGTCCTCGAAAAGGTTTACTAACACAGACATGTACGATTTAGTGCACGAGCATGTACATACATACATACATACATACATACATACATACATACATACATACATACATACATACATACATACATACATACATACATACATACATACTTTGAGCCGATGACCGGCAGCACAGCTGGGCCCTTGTGCTCGTCCAGCAGGAAAAACAGGAGAATGAAGCCAGAACATCAGGTAGAGTAGAATTGTCCATCCCCTCCTTATAAACATCGTAAAAGTTCAAGTAGTCGCATAGATGGTGTGCGAAAACAAACGTCTATTTGGGAGGGTATGAGTAGCGTTTAAGTATCTTCTGAATTCGATGGAAGCGCTGCAAAACACGCAAGAACATGCACGCGCCTTGTTTAAAATTTACACGCACAAAAGTCAGCGAGCAGAAGCGTTCAACAAAATGTACGTTTGCTTTACAAGCATATGTGCAACTATTTAAGAAAAACTTCTTGCTGAGCGAGTTGGTCACATTTTCTCGTTGTAAGCAGAAGTAATTCTTGACTGTGCTCATTTTGGGCAAAAAAATAATAGTACTTTAAACTTTGGCCCTGAAGCGTGGCATATCGTACGGCCAGCCGAACATAGCAGTAAACTAAACAAAGAAAAAACGAAAAGCAACGAGAGAGGAGGCACGGAGGTTAACGAGGCACATACCCGCTTTGCTACCCTACACTGCGGAATTGGCAAACGAGAGTATAAAAATGACAAAGAAAGGATAGATAGAAGAAAGATAGGAGGAAATACTCAGTACATGGGCTGTCGCGCATGCGGTGGTGGTACTGTGCAAAAATCAAAGGCTTTCGCAAAGGTCCGTGGTCCCCAGAAAGTGCAAGAGGGCTTCGACTGCCTTGTAAGCAAACGGATGACGAGAACGGTACTCCAGCAGCATATGCACAGAGTATAGCCGATCATCTAATTGTCGCAACGCGTCCGCATGTTCTCCGTCTGTGAGAGGCAAATACAGAGCAACAGTGTAGCACAGGTTTGATGTCTTCTTCGGTGCCGCAGACTTCGCATTCCTCTCTGTCGGTAACTCCAACGAGTGTTGTATATGCTTTTGTGAAGGCTACCACCAACCACAGCCGACAAAGAAGCGAAGCTTCTCGTCGACGATTTCCGTATTGAGGTCGAAGTTCCAGTTGAGGGTTTCTTTGGTGGAGTCTTGAATGTCTTATGCTTGAAGTGTTAAACTCTAGCAGGCACAGACTACGTGCCAGGTGACGAAGTTGCCTTGCAGCGTCTGCCCTTGACAGAGGAATTGGAAGGTTGTGCTCTTGCGTTGTCTGTGAAATAATGGCTACTGATCCCATAATGACCAGGTAGCCACTGAAAATTGACCTCGTGGCCTGTTTCTTTGACGCAGTGATGAAGCTTGGCAAACTAGTACGCCAGCTGTTCATGGCAACTCCGTTGGAGAACTGACTGCACGCAGTGTAAGGCTGGTAGAATAAACAAAGTGATCGATTACAGTCATATGCAGCACACTGGAGTTAAGACATACCGACTGTGGAAAAGAATTATTTCATCTAACAATGCGTAGTCTCTTTTGGTCGCAAGTGGACATAACTAGCCTAAATGTGCCACGTGCACTAACATAGCAACCGCCACTGAAGGGATAATGACGATTTCTCTTCACAATCATGACGCTTGGCTCTAGATGGTCAACTGCGAAAATCTTGAAAGCATTATTTAGCTAGCATGCGTAAACGGAGAAATTTAGGAATAGCAAGCCGTGGTCGATGTTTTTTTTTTCGTGTGAGTGGGTGTGTAGCGGCCGTGGACAAGTTGAGTCAGTACTGAAAATATTTCAGGTACCCACGTTGTAAGATGCTGATGTAATCGAACAAATATCACGTGTTGATCTAATAAACATGTTGGAGTCGGTATGGTGAGCGAGCGAGTCAGAACTTCATTCTTTGTAAATGATGGAGGTGGCCAAGCAATCATTGCGAGATTAGGGGGAGCCGGCGGTCACTGTGCCGGGAAGCTCTGGATTTTTCAGGTCTTCAGGTGTGATGGTCATCACGTTACTGGCTTTGCTGTCAACTGAATAACTAGGGGGAGGTGAAATAAATTAAAACTGATTATATCCGCATGACTGCGGATGAAGATTGGTTGTTCAATGCATGCTTAATAAATTTTCGTGGCTAATTGTAAGCATAGCATTGAAGCCCACACTATTCCATATATATAATATATATATATATATATATATATATATATATATATATATATATATATATATATATATATATATATATATATATATATATATATATATATATATATATATATATATATATATATATATATATATATATATATATATATATATATATATATATATATATATATATATATATATATATATATATATATATATATATATATATATATATATATATATATATATATATATATACAATAACAGCTTTATTTGAATGAAGAAGCGCGTACACGTGCACTTTTATCATATTATGCAAGAGCAAGCAGTCTATCCAATTTTCGCTGGGCATTCGAAGTCATTGGTATAGCTGTAATTATATGTCTGTATTGCAACACATATGCCAGGAATATAAACATATACGTATTATCAAATTTTCTATCAATTCACACATGAAAACTGAAGGAATTGAGAAATTGAGAGGGAACAGACTGGCTAGGATTTGTGTTTTCTTTCCTGTATGAAACCTTAGGTAGTAGTTACATCTGTACCAGTTACTACCACGTACTGCTGTATGCAGGAATAAGAGCATAATAGAAAACAAAAAAAGGAGCTCAATGAGAAAGCAGTTATCACAGGTTGATGAAGACGAAAGTGAAAACCTGCCCAGAACGAAAAATCATTAAGCTCTTTAGAAACAGAACAACAGAGATGGAATTAGGGTGGTGGCAGTGAAAAAGATCTGTTTCGACTATGTGCATTTGAGAGATAGGAGCGGCGTTGAAGACCGACCGTGTACAACATCAAAGAGAAGTCCCTTGTCAGGCAAGACATCTAATGAAAAAATAGGTTCGTTTAACCACGCACAGGTAATAAAAAACAACAAGTAACTACTTTAAGAGACAAAAAGAAAGAATTCCTGCAGGCAGCATGAGTGTATAAAAAAGTCAAGTGATGCACGAAGCTATAAAGCCAAGGAGGCAAATGCCGCAGTGAAATAGTGCGCGAGCATAAAGGTGGCTGAAATAGGACTCCATAGGTGACGCACAGTGGAGCATGTGATAAAAGATAAGTAGGACGTCAGTTCTCAGACATACGATTCCTCTTAGCGGTGATCCTTGCACGTGCTAATCAAAATTGCACTCCTTTTGACAACTTTTGTAACGTGCGCTGATATTGACTATGCAGTAACATCAGTCTTTTTTTTATATTGATATGATATATAAGGAGATGTTGGCGCACCATTATGGCGCCGGCTACTCCTTAGCCGTTTATTGAAACTTGAACACGTATCTTGAAGCAAAACATACAAAGCAGTGCATGGAAAACAGAAAACTCGGGCACAGATATGCAAAGACACACTTATACGCACATATCACAATGGTAAGTAAATGTTCGAAAGTCAATGTATGAAGTCTCTGGAAATGCCCCTCGTTAATATTCGGTCCACCAGCATAAAACAGCAAAG